TGCTGGCAATGAATTACATGGCTCTTGCATCGTCCACAGCTCCCAAGATGCTTGGCATCTTCTGGTTGGATGCCCACTGGCTTGACTTTAATCTCTGCCTAGCACAAATGTACTTCATCCGCACATTTTGCATAGTTGAGTCAGCCCTCCTAGTTGCCATGGCCTTTGACCATTATGTAGCTATTTGCATCCCTCTGCGTTATACAACTATCTTAACTATACCCATGGTAATCAAGATGGGGTTAGTTGGTATGACTCGAGCAGTCATTTTGGTTTTTCCCGGTCCTCTTCTCATTAAGAGACTTCCCTATTACACTAAATATGTCATCAATCATGCATATTGTGAGCACATGGCTGTGGTGAAGTTCGCTAATGCCAATACCAACATTAACAGAGCATATGGTATCCCTGTGGGCCTTTCAGTGATGATATTGGACCTAGGTCTTATAGCCATATCCTATTTCAAAATCCTCCAGGCAGTCTTCCGTCTCTCTTCCCAGAATGCCCGCTCTAAAGCACTGGGCACCTGTGCTGTCCATGTCTGCACCATACTCGTTTCCTACACCCCTGCACTGTTCAGCATCCTAACTCACCGCATTGGCAAGAAGGTACCTCCAAGTGTCCACATAATTTTTGCAAGTGTGTACCTTCTAGTGCCCCCCACAGTCAACCTGCTAGTCTATGGTGCCAAGACCAAGCAGATTTGTGACAGAGTGGTGGGTCTCTTCTTACTCAACAGAAAAAATTCCAAAAACTGAAAAAACTTACTTACTAGTCCATGTTGGTAGAATCTGGCTCATGTAGTCATGATATACTGATTAGTAGTTGTAACCCTGTCCCTAACCTTTTATTTCACAATTAAGCTATGCCTCATAGCAGGGGCATATGGTGTTGTGTGTTTACTTTTTCTTTCCTCTCTTTTCCTTTTTTCATGTTTTCAGGTTCTTTCTTTTAGAAATAAAGTAAGCTTTCAATGAATGTGATCAATTATCTTTATTTATTAACAAAAAATGTGTTTGAGGTAATATGGGTTTTGATACGATTGTGAGATACATAAGTCCCCAAGTGCACTCTGGTGGAAGGATTGGTGGCATGAAGCCCATTTTATCTGATTCATATAATTATACAGGTCCCTGTCAGGCAGCAACACATACTATTACCGGGATAACCACTTCTCACAAAAACTGAGAGGCTGAAAATATTGGTTGGTAATATATATCCCACAGATCACAAAAGGGTTAATCTACAAGCGTATTAGATACAAGTCAATGTTTTTTCTCATTGTACCAATTAGGAAACTGAGGCACAGAAAGTGTGTGTAATTTTCCCGAAGAAATCCCCTTAGAAAGTACCAGAATAGAACTTTAACTCAAAGACTGTGGCTTTAGAATACATGCTCTTAACCACAACACACTATATTGTCTGCTTTCACAGAAATCACAAACTTTTTACTTTATGAATAAGAAATATATTCCTTTAAATATTTTATATTTTTATTCCCTTACTTCTGAAATTCTTCTTTTTGATATTATGGTAGATTTCTTTACCCTCCCTAAAGCAATGTACCTAATACATTCTTTTACAATATTTTGGCAAAATTCCAAACACGAATTATGTCCATTTTTCTAGAGAAATATTCCATGAATGCATCCTGGTAGCATTAAGATGATGTTTTCCAAATAAGAATTGAACTTAAAGACTGACAATCCGACTTATTCACATGCAGTTCTCTCTTTAGCCTCGATCAACATCAATTTTTGTCCTTTAATCAAATAAAATAGAAAATATACCTTATATTCATCTAAACTTTTTTTTGTTTTACTTAATAACATTGATTTCATTTTGCACGGAATGCTGAAACTACCTGTAGACATTATCTACAAATGACCTATTCAAACACTATTTTGTCCACTGTTGGTCTATATCTATATAGACCAACATTTTTTTTTTTAATGGACAGGAGGTGAATACTTCAAACTTTTTGGACTAAGTAACATCTGTTGTAATTTTTCAACTTTACCAACATAGTGAAAAAACACCCGTACACAATATATGATTGAAAGAGTATGGCTATGTTCTAATAAAACTTTAATTTCAGAAAAGCAATACGGTAGATTTTGCCTGTGTTTATAGTTTGTTGCATAAACCTGACATATTCATATTCTGTGTGGTTAATAAAATGTAATGTAACTCAATGTCATTGAGTCACATCAAACTCATAGGGACCCTGCCTTGGGTTTCTGAGGCTGTATCACGACGGAATTAGATTGACCAACCTTCTTCCAAAGAGTGGCTGGTGGATTTGAACCGCCAGCCTTCTGGTTAGCAGCCAAATGCCTTAGGCACTATGTCACCAGAGCTCCCAAATGTAATGTTAAACTCTAGTAAAAAGCGTTTCAATTTATTTAACACATTGTGCACTAGATTATCACCTGGAGCCACTTCACGAAACATAAATGTTGATTCAACTATCACCATTTTTAATTTATATTGGAATCCTCATATGTTATTATATTTTATGTGACTCCACTGCCACTGAGCTGGGCGTAGTTTTTAACTTAATTCTTTATTTTACTTCTAAAGGATAGGGTGTTATGATCATATGAGGCTATGTTTATGACTGATTTTGAGTAGAGAAACAGTCTTCACCTTGAACTGGAGTCTTAATGAGAAGAAGGTTTCATTGGTTCCTAACCCTTTATGGAAATAAGCTCTCAGAATTTATCAAGCTGGAAATTACAGGGTTTCTTAACTGAGAATCTGAATTCAAGGGAACAAACTTCAAGAAAGGCTCAGTGGAGCTTGAGTATAGAGAAATTTGCATTCACTTAAGTTAAGCTCTTGGGGAGCTGATTGAGACTTTATGATGATCTCTCCATTAATCCACTGGCAACATCATTACTCATGGTCAGTCTTGTCACTTATATGCTAATGACACACATCTAAAATAAATCTTACAGGTATAAAGCACTCATTGGTAGATCCTCAAAGAATTTGAGCTCCTATGCCAATGCTCCCTTATAGGGATAAGAAAGAAAAAGGCAGAGGGTTAGGAGGAGAATTTATTCAAATACTCTAGAGTTATCTTTATCATAAGAAGCCCTGATGGTGCAATGATTAAGTTTGACTTGTAACTTGAAAGTTGGTGGTTCAAACCCACATTGTGGCTTGGTAGGAGAAAAGACAGGGCAATTTGCCCCCATAAAGATTTTGGCATAGAAGAACTCATGTGGCAGTTCTACTCTGCCCTATAGGGTGACCATGAGTTAGAATCTGTTTAATGGCAAACAACAACAACAACAACACTTTTATCATACAATAGGATACAAAATACAATACAAAATACAATATAAAATAGAAGATGTGTTCCTTGGCAGCATCAGCAACAGGTCAGGTTTAAACATCATGCATTGCTTCTTTGGTTGAATAATCCTATTTTTTTCTTGAAAAATCAGAATATTCAAGTGCATCCA